ATGGTGGAGACTTGATGAGGTTATTGAACCGTCACTTCAACTAGTGTGTAGCAGGGCATAGGAAGTTGTTCCTGTGGCACCTACACCAATTGAAGTGGAAAACTTATGATAGTGATCATGAAGTTTCGGATCAAGTCACTACCGAACCTCGTAGGACGACAAGGACGCATACTGCTTCAGAGTGGTACGGTGATCCTGTCTTAAAGGTCATGTTGCTAGACAACAATGAACCTACGAGCTATGGAGAAGCGATGGTGGGCCCAAATTCCGACAAATGGTTAGAAGCCATGAAATCCGAGATAGGATCCATGTATCAGAACAAAGCATGGACTTTGGTGGACTTGCCCAATGATCGGCAAGCCATTGAGATAAATGGATCTTTAAGAAGAAGACGGACGTGGACGGTAATGTCACCGTCTATGAAGCTCGACTTGTGGCGAAGAGTTTTTTTTTCACAAGTTCAAGGAGTTGACTACGATGAGGTTTTCTCATCCGTAGCGATGCTTAAGTCCGTCAGAATCATGTTAGCATTAGCTGCATTTATGAAATCTGGCAGATGGATGTCAAAACGAGTTTCCTTACCAGTTTTTGTAAGGAAAGGTTGTATGTAATACAATCAGAAAAGTTTTGTCGATCCTAAGGATGCTAAAAAGGTATGCTGGCTCCAGCGATCCTTCTAAGGACTGGAGTAAGCATCTCGGAGTTGGAATGTGCGCTTTGATGAGATGATCAAAGATTTTGGGTTTGTACAAAGTTTATGAGAAACTTGTATTTCCAAAGAAGTGAGTGGGAGCACTATAGAATTTTTGATGAGTATATGTTGTTGACATATTGATGATCAGAAATGATGTAGAATTTCTAGAAAGCATATAGGGTTATTTGAAAGGTGTTTTTCAATGAAAAGCCTGGATTAAGCTACTTGAACATTGAGCATCAAGATCTATAAGGATAGATCAAAATGCTTAATAATACTTTCAAATGAGCACATACCTTGACATGATCTTGAAGGTGTTCAAGATGGACCAGTCAAAGAAGGAGTTCTTGCCTGAGTTGTAAGGTACGAAGTTAAGACTTAAAGCTCGACCACGGCAGAATAGAGAGAAAGGACGAAGGTCGTCCCCTATGCTTAAGACGTAGGCTCTTCAGTATGCTATGCTGTGTACCGCACCTGAAGTGTGCCTTGCCATGAGTCAGTCAAGGGGTACAAGAGTGATCCAAGAATGGCTCACAGGACAGCGGTCAAAGTTATCCTTAGTAATTAGTGGACTAAGGAATTTTCTCGATTATGGAGGTGGTAAAAGAGTTCGTCGTAAAGGGTTATGTCGATGCAAGCTTGACACCTATCCGGATAGCTCTGAGTAGAGAGACCGGATACATATAGTGGAGCAATAATTTAGAATAGCTCCAAGTAGAACAGTTATTTGGAATAGCTCCAAATAGAGCGTGGTAGCTGCATCTAGGAGATGTCATAGAGATTTGTAAAGCACACACGGATCTGAAAGGTTCGGACCCGTTGACTAAAACCTCTCTCACAAGCAACATGATCAAACATAAAACTCATTGAGTGTTAATCACATAGTGATGTGAACTAGACTACTGACTCTAGTAAACTCTTGGGTATTAGTCACATGGCAATGTGACCTGTGAGTGTTAATCACATGGCGATGTGAACTGGATTATTGACTCTAGTGCAAGTGGGAGACTGTTGGAAATATGCCCTAGAGGCAATAATAAATAAGTTATTATTATATTTCTTTATTCATGATAATAGTCTTTTATTCATGCTATAACTGTATTATCCGGAAATCGTAATACACGTGTGAATACATAGACCACAATATGTCCCTAGTGAGCCTCTAGTTGACTAGCTCGTTGTGATCAACAGATAGTCATGGTTTCCTGGCTATGGACATTGGATGTCGTTGATAACGGGATCACATAATTAGGAGAATGATGTGATGGACAAGACCCAATCCTAAGCATAGCACAAAGATCGTGTAGTTCGTTTGCTAAAGCTTTTCTAATGTCAAGTATCTTTTCCTTAGACCATGAGATTGTGCAACTCCCGGATACCGTAGGAATGCTTTGGGTGTACCAAAAGTCACAACGTAACTGGGTGGCTATAAAGGTGCATTACATGTATCTCCGAAAATGTCTGTTGGGTTGGCACGAATCGAGACTGGGATTTGTCACTCCGTGTAAACGGAGAGGTATCTCTGGGCCCACTCGGTAGGACATCATCATAATGTGCACAATGTGACCAAGGGGTTGATCACGGGATGATGTGTTACGGAACGAGTAAAGAGACTTGCCGGTAACGAGATTGAACAAGGTATCGGTATACCGACGATCGAATCTCGGGCAAGTAAAATACCGCTAGACAAAGGGAATTGAATACGGGATCGATTGAGTCCTTGACATCATGGTTCATCCGATGAGATCATCGTGGAACATGTGGGAGCCAACATGGGTATCCAGATCCCTCTGTTGGTTATTGACCGGAGAACGTCTCGGTCATGTCTACATGTCTCCCGAACCCGTAGGGTCTACACACTTAAGGTTCGATGACGCTAGGGTTATAAAGGAAGCTTGTATGTGGTTACCGAATGTTGTTCGGAGTCCCGGATGAGATCCCAGACGTCACGAGGAGTTCCGGAATGGTCCGGAGGTAAAGATTTATATATAGGAAGTCCTGTTTCGGCCATCGGGACAAGTTTCGGGGTCATCGGTATTGTACCGGGACCACCGGAAGGGTCCCGGGGGCCCACTGGGTGGGGCCACCTGCCCCGGGGGGCCACATGGGCTGTAGGGGGTGCGCCTTGGCCTACATGGGCCAAGGGCACCAGCCCCAAGAGGCCCATGCGCCTAGGGAACCCTAGAGGGAAGAGTCCTCAAGGGGGAAGGCACCTCCGAGGTGCCTTGGGGAGGATGGACTCCTCCCCCCCCCCTCTTGGCCGCACCCCTTTCTTGGAGGAAGGGGCAAGGCTGCGCCTCCCCCCTCTCCCTTGCCCCTATATATAGTGGAGGGGAGGGAGGGCATCGATACCTGAGCCCTTGGCGCCTCCCTCCCTCCCGTGACACCTCCTCCTCTCCCGTAGGTGCTTGGCGAAGCCCTGCAGGATCGCCACGCTCCTCCATCACCACCACGCCGTTGTGCTGCTGCTGGATGGAGTCTTCCTCAACCTCTCCCTCTCTCCTTGCTGGATCAAGGCGTGGGAGACATCGTCGAGCTGTACGTGTGTTGAACGCGGAGGTGTTGTCCGTTCGGCACTAGATCATCGGTGATTTGAATCACGGCGAGTACGACTCCATCAACCCCGTTCACTTGAACGCTTCCGCTTAGCGATCTACAAGGGTATGTAGATGCACTCTCCTTTCCCTCGTTGCTCGTTTCTCCATAGATAGATCTTGGTGACACGTAGGAAAATTTTAAATTTCTGCTACGTTCCCCAACAAACTACGCGCGCCATGCAGATGGTGTGTGTGTGTGTGCGTGTGCGCGCTAATGTGACAACGTGTGTGTGCGTCGCGCTGTGTTGGTGTCATTTACAGTGATGTAGCATGATTTGGGCTCTAAAAGGGGCAAAATTCTAGTTGTGACGTGAAGGTTCTCAAACTTGTATTCTTAAATTGCTTTGTTGTTGTTGTTGTGAACTGCCTTTTAAATTCCTTTAACACTTTTATTATGTTACTCCCTCCATCCGGACGGAGGGAGTACTTCTCATATTAGGCAGGACGTGTAGGTTGATTTTTTTTTTGCGAGTAGTGTAGGTTGATTTGTTAGCTAGCTATAGTGTTAAATTTAAAAAATGGTTAAGATTCAGTGCATTATTTTATGAATGTTGATATCCATATCGTTGGCTCCGCCCATAGGTCATGTGATTTTGAAACTCTCATAATTTAGTTAAAGTTGTTTGTAGCTTGGAGTCTGGGCGAAATATCTGGCTCGCCTTCCCTCCGAACATAGCTATCCCTTCGAACATTATGCAATGAAGCTTCTCGGTTGCTCTAAAAAAATTGACTAAAGAATTTTTCTTTTCTTTTTCTTTAAGGCCTCTTTGGATTACAGAAGATTCATTTATGTAAAATATGCTCTTTTTTTAAGAAAGGATGGATTAGCTTTTTTTTATTAAACAGATCTATGCTCTTAGTATTTATCATAGATTAATGAATTTACAACACGACAAAGGTAAAGCGCAAACATAAGTGAGTTGATCATAGCATGTGACGAGCCGTTAGTCCGCCGTGCAAAACTGTGCATGTGCGCCGGATGTCGTCTATGCTGATGTGATGGCGACGTGACAATGTGCGCCTGCGTCGCGCCGTATTGGTGCCCTTTACAACAATGTATATGATTTTAGCTCTAAAATGATATAAATTCCGATGTGCTGTGGAAGTTCTCGAACTTGTCTTTTTTAAAATCGCTTTTCTTTTTGTCATGAACCAGCTTTTAAAATCCTTTAACGCTTTTGTTCTGTTACTTCTCAGATTATGTGTAGGTCGATTAGTTAGGTAGCTATTAAACATATTACCAAAATGGGTAGAACCACGCATTATTTTACAATCTTGACATCAATATCTCCGCTCTACAAATCCTTACGGAGCAATGTACAATCCAAATATCCACAGACAATTGAAAGCGCAAACACAAAATACAAACACAAACACAAACACACAAGTCAGCCGACCAATTATGACTGAGCAAAAAACAATGGAAAAGAAACCAAACTCAATACCATTAGGTAAGGCACCCAGAGCTTTCTATATACAGATACATCAGCTCAACCTCACACTCACATCAAAGCAAAGGCGACGTCTCAACCTCACCCACAAAGTCACAAGATGCACACATCAGACTGGTGTCACACACGCACACGCACAAGGAAAGTATCTGCTCGTCTTTTCCCAGACGGCATTGCCATTGAAACTGTGCAGTTCCAGACAAAAGATGATGGCCGCCGGCTCCACGGCGAAAACCGCGCGCCGCCGCCATGGCCGTCCTAGAGCTTCAGCTTCACCATGGCCGGGTGGCGGTGCGAGTCGACCAGGATGGACCACAGGACGTGCACATCTTCGTCCTCGCAGGACTTGACGTCCTTGTACAGGATCCTCATCCCCCTCCCTGCCAAGAAGCACAACAATGTCGGTGCCTAGCAAACAGCAATGGCACAAGGAAGAGAAACAGAGCCCCATTCCCCCCAACCGTCCACAATGCCACAAAAGAAGAAACCAAGACTTCCACAACAAAGCGAAGAAGTTGAGAGGCCGGTCGATCTTACGGTATTTGCGCGCCAAATGCGCGCGGACCATGATCTTCCTCAGAGGGGAGAAGAGGGAGCGGAGCCACCCCATGAGGAAGCCTTGACGATAGAGCCCGAGGGTTATGGCCTCATGGGGTGGGGGTGAAATGAGGGAGCAGAGCAGAGGCTGCAAGGTAGGGATGTTATGTATGCAGAGGAGAGGAAACAAAAAGGGGTCTAGGTTAGAGAGGAAGTAACCATCAATCAGGCCCTGCTTTTTGGCACGAGGTGAAGTTCAGTGCACTGTACCCTTCTTCCCCTCCACTCCTGCCACATGTCTTGGGCTTCCTTCCTTGCGACCCAATCATGGTGCTTTTCAGCCATTTTGTTCTGGTATCTTGTCCCTTTCCTCTTCTTACTCTTCCTACCTCCTCCCCCTTTCGACAAGGCCGTGGCCGGCCCCAAACCTAACCATGAAAAAGAATAATCTGAGTGAGTGAGTGCTGCCAATTCTGAAATCTCCACAGCAAAAAACAAACAAAAATCTGCATTCCGGCATCATCGCTATCATGGTACTATATTATGTAATCTACACTGGTGGAGGACTGCAGATGAACTTTCTTTTTCTCATAGAATAGTAGCTAAATCAACTATTCTTAATTTTTTTTGTAACGGCAGCTACACTTGTAGTGCAAGAGCGTACTTGAATAATGGTAGCTGGTTTTGGAATAGCATGGCAGTTCAATATTGGTAGCTTTTAGTACAAGTAAATGGTTGCTGATTTTGCGCGGTGCAATTTTACAAGTATGAAACATGATTCTACCTACTTTTAGGAGCACATTTTACAAGTATGCAACATGACAAAGAATAATGTGAGTGAGTGCTGCCAAATCTGAAATCCCCACTTCCAAGACAAAAGAAATTGCATTCCGGCATCATCACTATCGTGGTACTATATATTATACTAGATCATACCGGCGCGTGTTGCTGCGCCCGTCCATTATTGCTATCAAATGGTAGGAATTTTTGCAAGTATACGAAGACATGAAAATGGAAGTTATATAGGATATTATGTAAATACGTGGAGACACGAAACATGCAAAAGTTAGATTTGCAATTTGGCATGAACTGAATTATGTATTGTGAAGTTGGTTTGAGTCTTATGGAAAATCAACGGACAGATGATCTGTAAAAGTCCTTCACCATCATTTTCATGTCTGACCTACTCGTCGTTCTCTTAGCCTGAACTCTGCGTGTGTTAGACTTCATTAGACAAACATGTCAGAACCTGCTTTGATTTCCCTCTAGCTACATGTACCCATATATGTAAAAGGGTTTCCTATTTAAATATGATTGTAATAATCATTTACAAATCTATAATATGTTATCATAATAGCACACATGAACTCTTGAAGAATCGGGGCAATAGGACTACAAAGCTGACGACCTATTGGTCTACCGGATATTTATTAATTTGAACGCAAAATTGGAGGATATTTCTTAATGCTCACAACTTGTATATGTTAGGTTGATCTCTATCCCGTTCGAACCCAATGGGTCGAACGGGCCCCTGACTCGCGCCCTGATCGGGGGCGCCCAACCAAACCATGGTTGGTGGGCCCCTGTCGCCAGCGCAATATAAAGAGGTGGGGTGCCGGGGCATGGATTAAGAGGTTGACCGTGCACCACAACACCACCGACACACCAATCCGATCTAGGGTTTTGCGCTAGGCCGACGGGAAGCTCCGCCGCCACCATCTCAGTCCACATCGCCGCCGTCTCCACACCACCATGGCCGGCGCTGGATCGAGTTCATCCACACCAGGAGAAGGTAGGTGTACCGAAAGATCTAACCTATCCGATCCAAAGCAATCTATCAATGGTATCAGGTAGCCAGATCGGGTTAGACCTTTTCAGTAGAAAGAATTCAAAGCAAAAGGTTGATCCCTAAACCCCAAAGAACCCTAGAAGGGCACAGAGAAAAGCAAACAAAAAAAAAAGGATCCCCAAAAGTTCACCGGACTAGGGCCTCGGGCCTCGCCGGCAAAGAGCGCCGCCGCAACGCCGCGCCGTTCCTCTCGATCCGGACGCGCATCGGCAAGCCGAGGCGTCGGACGAAGAACTACTCCACACGGGGCAAAGGGCATCGCGAACAAACCGCTCGACGGCGACGCGCTCACCGCAAGGTGGACGCGCAGCCGGCGAGGGGGATGATCACGACGCCACCGTAGAGTGTTCTGCCCTCGTCGAAAACGAATGGGAGCACAAGGGGCAAAGTAGCCTCGTCCTCACTGTCAGAGTAGGTGGAGATGGAGCGGGGAAAGGGAGATGCTCGCGCGCGGCTCGCGCGGCACGGTGGCCTTACGCCGTCGCCGGCGGCCGGCGGAGCCCCGACCCGGCTGCAGCACAGAGAGAGATGACGCAAGGGGAACAGAGGACGGCGCTGCAGGCGTCTCGCTCTCTCTCCGTCAAAGGAAAGGCGGGGGAAAGGGGAGAACAGCGGGGAAGGGAAAGGAGGCGCGGGCGTGGCGCGGTGGAACCGCTGCCGTCGCCGGCGGCTGGACCGGGCGACCGGGGAGCAGCTTCTGCCTCCGCCGATTTTCGGGTGAACAAGGGGATTGAGACGAGTGTGGGGGCGCTAGGGTTGGACTGGGGTTGGACTGGGGTTGGACTCCCTGTTTTGTTCCAGCGGAACCAGCGGACAGCCGTACGATCGTGTTGAACGGTCTAGATGAAAACCCTAGCCTCCCACTGGCCTTTTGGGCTGAAAGTAATCGCGGGCGAGGCCGAGGCAGGCCGGCTCGCGCTGGGCGTGGCGCGGGGAGCAGGCCATGGGCCGCTTCCTCCGCTACGGGCCTTCTCGCGCACTGGGCTCAGGCCACCAACTGCCGCGGGCGTGCTGGGCGAGGCCGCGAGCCGCCGCGGGCGCGCTGGGCCGAGGCCGCAGCTTAGCCGCGCGCTAGGCTGTGTTGCAGCCAATTTTTTTTTCTTCAGAGAAGAATAGAATTTTTTTTCAGAAAAGAAAAGTTCATGAATTTTTTATTCATGTTTTTCCGTTGCGTATATAATTGATAGTGCTCTTTTACAAAGAAAATAAAAGTTTCGATAGAATTATGTTTTTTAAGAGCATGTTAAAGTAATTATTGAAATGATATGATTATGTTATTTTTTATGACCAACATTGTTAATAACATGATCATGTTTTATCATTGAAATTTAGAGGTGCATTTATTTCTAATATTTTGCCCAACAGTAATATAGATTTAATCGCATAGACAATTGTATGTTTTAATTTGACCAACGTTAGATTATTGCATATGATTGTTTTATTGATGTCACTTAAATTGTGATTTCAGGAGGCTTTCACTTGATGAGTTGCCTAAAAGAAGTTCCGACACTCAGAGGTGACAACCACACTGAGTGAAGGAAGAAAGTTGAACTGGCATTTGTTTGTGCTGATCTTGACTGGGTTGTGGAGAAACCACAGGCGATCAGACCCACAGAGCCAATAAGGGAGGCCACTGATGATGATGCTGCATGGGCTAAAAAGAAGGGGGACTATGCTCCTTTGGAGCAGTCCTACCTCATAAATAACCAAAAGTGGGTCAATGCAAACAAAAAGTGCATGACATTTATAAAGAATACAATTAAGAGCGCCATTGTGGGCTCCATTGCAGAGTGCACTTCCGCAGGGGAGTTGCTTACAAAGATAAAGAGCCAATTCACTGGCTCTTCAAAGATCTATGCCACCCAGGTGTTAGAGCAACTGGTGACAGAACGCTACACGGGTGGTAGTCGTGGAATAAGAGAGCACATCCTCAGGATGAGTAATATGGCAGCAAAGCTTAAGCCCATGGATGCGGATCTGGAGATCAAACTAGCGCTCCTGGTCCACCTAGTCATGGCTTCACTGCCACAGGAGTTTGCAACTTTTGTTGTAAACTATAATATGTCACCTGGAACATGGGACATTGAAAAGACAATAGCAATGTGTGTCCAAGAAGAGGACAGACTCAAAGCCGCACATGGTGGTTCAATCAACTATGTGAAGGATTACAAGAAAAAGAACTACAATCAAAACAACAAAAGTTCTCCTTCAAAGAATGGAAAAGCCCCCTATCAGCATCAGCAACAGCCTTTCTCAGTGGACAAAGACACGTGTCTCCACTGCAAACAGAAAGGGCATTACAAGAAAGACTGCGCTGCTTGGCTGAAGTCAGTCATGGCAAAAAGAGGTAACAATATAGTTTCATTTGTAAATGAATCCTTGTATACACAGTTTTCAAAATCCACTTGGTGGATTGATTCAGGAGCAACTATTCATGTTGCAAATTCTTTACAGGGATTTCATTCGACGCGAACTACGCTAAGAAGCGAAAGACGCATTGAAGTGGTAAACGGAGTTGAAGCAGAAGTTGAAGCTGTTGGTGACATCTCCTTGGAGTTAGTGGCGGATTCAATCTTCTACTTAGAGATGTTTTATTTGTTCCATCATGTCATAGAAACTTAATTAGTGTTTCTTGTTTGGACAAATATAATTATGAATGTCATTTTGGACATGGCAAGTGTGCCATTTGGTATAATAATGCTTATGTGGGTGATGCTTTACTACATGATGAGCTTTATTTGTTATCACTTCGTGAAAAAGTTTATTCCGTTTGCAATGTGAAAGAAAATGTTTCCGTGTCGAATAAAGAGCAAAAGAAAAGAAAAAGAACATTTGACTCATCGAAATTATGGCACTGTCGCTTGGGCCATATTTCGAAGGGGAGAATAGAAAGATTAGTCAAAAGTGAAATTCTTCCTCCATTAGAATTTTCAGACTTAGAACAATGCATAGATTGCGTTAAAGGAAAGTACGTAAAACAAATCAAAAAAGGTGCAATCCATAGCACAAGCACACTAGAAATCATCCACACTGATATTTGTGGACCATTTCCGATGAAAAGTGTGGATGGATATGACTCGTTCATAACATTCACAGATGATTACTCTCGCTATGGATATATTTATCCAATCAAAGAAAGATATGAAGCGTTGGATAAATTTAAAATATTCAAAGCTGAAGTTGAAAATCAGCATGATAAAAGAATAAAGATAGTTAGGTCCGACCGTGGGGGAGAGTACTACGGTCGGCACACTTCATATGGCCAAGTCCCTGAACCTTTTGCAAAGTTCTTGTAGGAGACTGGCATTGTTGCCCAGTATTCAATGCCGGGCGAACCTCAGCAAAATGGAGTAGCTGAAAGGCGCAACCGTACACTTATGGATATGGTGCGCAGCATGATGAGTTATTCCAACTTGCCATTGGGATTATGGATGGAGGCGCTTAAAACCGTCATTCACATTCTCAATAGAGTACCAAGCAAGTCGGTGCCCAAAAC